ATTATACATTTTTGAGTAAATATTCCTCATGCGCATCATGGATTCTGTTAAATATGTCAATTACTGGATACTCTTAATTCACTTTGAACATAAAACACGGTACTGAACTTTAACTGAAAGTTATAGGAATGAAGATATTAGGAATGTTAGGTTAGTCTTTATTAGACAAGACGAATGTAAAGATTGCCTTGATGATCTCATTATGGCATCATCTTCAGCTGTCCATTTGGAGGTACTCAGGGAATTGCCTTCTGTCGCCACAAAAGCCCCATGTGAAACCTGATCTTCATCAAAGTTTCATGTAGCCTACAGTGAGGCTCTTATCATCTCGCCTATCAAATCAAGACAAATGACTCTAACTACCCCCTCTAATTAGGAATAAATGATCTTAACATATTTTTTTTCAGTCTGTAACCACAAAAAGGCATCATTAAACTTCTATGTTTATTTAGTGTGACTTTGGTTTGATGTATGGGTTTGATGAATAAAGACCAAATTCAAAAAACAAACACATAATATTACATAATTATTTCCTGGAGATTTAAAATGTAGTCAAATTCCAAATTTCAGGTAAGACCACAACCTATCGCTATAATTGTGGCTGTACATGACCAGCCAGGTTTTTTAAATGGGGTTTTTTGTATAGACTGACCATCTCTTTCCTCTTGGGATGAAACCCTAGAGTTATATAGGATAGAAAGACACCATTGTCAGCATGTCTGGAAAGGGGGCTTATTCTCTTAAGCTAATATAACAGAGGGCATGGCTATCCAAACACACACTGTTTGTACAAAAATTAGTAAATTATATATGTATATATTTGGAGAAGAAAAAAAACTAATAATTTAGGTAAAATTGCAGGATAGTTTGTTCAATTCAAGTGTGCTGAAGGTAAAACACCCAAGCTAGTTCAACTGAAAAGTGATCAGTCTGTTATAGCTCCTTTCAATATTTACAGAAAGCGTTGTAGATTCAAAACTATCTCCCCTTTTAACAGAGCCCAAATAATTAGTTCATACATGTGACATTTCCAATTAACCTATAACACATTAGTACAGAAGACAATGTTGTCTATTTCTTCTGAAACATAAAAAATCTGAGATGAGA